CATGTTCCAGCTGTGATGAAATTCCAGGTGGGCCTGCATGGGATTTTCATTGCCTGTGGAAGGATGCAGGAGACATCCCATGCATCATGCCTGAGATCCAGCTGACTCTGAGTCAGAGACACTTAGATCCCCTAAAACAGCTGTTCTGCATACAGTGCTACTTGCCTGCTCATGAAAGAAATTTTGTTGTGTGTGTGTTGTGCGTGTGTGTGTGTGTGTGTATGTATAAGATTTCTTAGCCTGTCTTTCCTGTCTACAGTGGCTTCAGCTTAGCAACCTCACAGCAAATGAAGGCCATCAGCAGGGGACTCACTTAGAGGCCAGGTGAGCAGCGAGCCCCCTCCCCCTACCCGCAGGGCCCTTTGACTGTGAACGGACGCTTCTCTGCTGTGTGAACACGTGGGGGTTTCTCGCACATCAGGCTGGAGTGAAGAAGGGGGAAGGTGGGGTGTTCTTGGACTACTAAGGCTGGGAAATGATGTCCTGTGTCTACACAGCATCCAATGAGATTAGTGTCTACAAGAACTGTGTGCTCTGGTACAGCAGCAGCCAAGCCAAACCCACAATTACTTCCCTGTTGGCTCACAAAGCAGTGGTTCCTTTCTCTCTTGTTTTCCTTTTATTATTTTTTATAGAGCGCTGTTATAACGGCACAAGATCTCATTTCACCACTTGTATTTCATTTCAGGAGCTTGTGAGCACATAAGGGCTGAGGTTTTGCAGAATTCCATCATTTGGAGAGGAATGAAGTTCCTCCCTCCTCCCAAAGCACTTGGTCTTTTCCTCCTACGGGTAATGGATGGATAGGGGCAGACAGGACCATTCCCAAGGATGGTATTCTATGCAGAAGGAGCTGGGTCAGGTTCAGACAAGACCCAAGCTACAGAGTGCTCCTGTCCTGGAGGATCTTTGCAGTGAGGAAGAGCAACGAGGGGCCGCAAAGGGAACAGCTCACGTATTGCAGCCAAAGCCCAGTTTTTCACTTGGGTGAATTCTCCTTGAACTTGACTCTAAGAGGTGTATGTGCCGCATAAAAGTCCACCACATGGAAGCTCTCAGCAAGGACAGTTAGAAGAGGCTGCTGAGCTGGGGGCCAGAAGGTAGCCCTCTCTTCTTGCTTCTCTCTCTAACTCCCTGATACACCGGGCCCGAGGCTTCCAGGTCGGGAGAGCTTGTGGGAAGGTGGCAGCTGTCTCTGCAAAGATGCTGGGAGATGGAGTGTTACACTCTTGTCCCTGGGGCTCATGCCCTCCCCCACAGTGTCTCTGCCACGAAGCCTGCAGGATAGGACCCCTGTCTCCATGACTCTGCCTCTGCCCCTGACAATTCAGGTAGGGCTGGTGCAGTCAGGTGCCCAGTCAAGGTCTCCAGAATGAAAGCAGAGTGAATGCAAGTCCGGGGCCTCTTGTCTGGAGCTGGAACTGATGTGTGTAAGTATCACGCGGTGAGTCAGCAAACCTTGCAGGTCTGAGCCACAGCCATCTTCTATCTGCTAGTCAGGCCTCTAGAGGGAACAAGCCTTAGCTACACTGATGGATTTTGAGTATTCCCTTCCTCCATGCCCTTCAGGCAGCCTGCCGTGCTCTGAAGAGCAGACTCTGCCTGGCCACCCTCCTCTCAGTATTCTGCTAGATCCCAGTGAACCACGGATCAGATGTACCACCCCCTCTACAACTTCCCATCCAGCCAGGCTGAGTCCCTTAGTGACAAGGAAATGACCAACCCAGGGGAAACTTGGTTTGGAGGTCCGAAAGGAATGGCTCTATCAACCACTGACCCGCACGATGTCTGGGAACACCAGGAATGGCCAAGTTTCCTGTGTCCACCTGGCCAGGGCATCACACCCAGTGACCTATCCAACACTAACCGAGGCATTGCTGTGAGGATATTGCACAGATGTTGTTAATGTCTATCACCCATTGACATTAAATAAAGGCAATCATCCTTAGTAATGTTGGTGGGCCTCATCTAATCCGTTGAAGTTCTAAAGAGCAAACACTGAGTTCTCCCTAAGGAAGAGAAAGACTGTAGCCTCAATTTCTGCCTCAGTTTTCAGCCTACCAGTCTGCCTTGCAGATCTCGGATGTGACAGTCCATAAAACTGAAAGAACCAATTCCTTAAAACAAGCATCTAGCCTATCCATTGTTTCCCTAGAACTCAATGCACCAGGCCAGGCCCACACAACTCCAGCAGACACATGGAGCTCTGGCAAGGCTGGGCAGTATATTTATCTCTACTACAGAGAAGATCCATGCATGTCACCTCCTGTATCTTGGGGATGGGTAACGATGACACTTGGTGACCAACTGACCTCTGCATCAGAGCTAAACTCTACAAAGCCTCGGGGGTTCCTGGAGCCCCTCCCTGCCCATTTCACACCAGATCTGCCATTTTCCATCAAGGAAACATATGGCCCTTGATCAAAGGTAGATGGAATCAGCCATGTTCTCTTCATGGACGGCACCTATCAAACATACCACCCTGGACCCGGGAGGAAGACAAGGATTACGAGGCTGATTTCCCTCAGTGTCCACCACCAGAACAAACATGGTTTTCTTCAAAATCTGGGACTCTTTTAAAACTCCTGTGATGGGAACATTTGGAACAATCCTAGGATTTGGGGAGGGCCTAAGAGAGAAAGGAAGCAAAGTTTCGATTGTTCCCTCACAAGAAAACTCATCAGTTCCTCCAAAAATGATCACATTTCCCAGGAGAGAGACCCACCTCTGTATCTGAGAGGAACCATCAATGGGCCTGTCCCCATCAGCCGGGCTGAGGAATGTGGGAGAAGCTTCCTAGGAGCCCCGTCCTTCTTCGGAACCCAGCCCGTGGGCCAGGTTCAATGTTCCCATCCGAGGGGAAGCAAAAGCCCACCTCAAAGGAAATGGTGTCCACTTCTCCTACAAGACAGGAGTCTTCTCCTATTTACATGTCCTATTAGATTCAGGAAGAGCCACATGGAAACAGGAGAAGGTTTTGTTTTCGTGACACCACCCTCATCTCCTTGCTCTGTCTCCCTCTGAGGCTGGTAAGTGCAGGCTAGCAGTTCCTAGAGCTGGCGGGAAGCCGGTCTCTAGAAACAAGGGCTGAGATCCGGCTCACTCTGCTCATGGCCCAGTGGAAATCACCTCAGCGCCCTTTGTCCAAAGTGTTCTCTCCCGCTCTCTCCCACACGCAAGGTCCCCCTAACACACACACACACACACACACACACACACACAACACACACACACACACACACTGATGTATTCCCTGCAGATAGCTCACAGTGCGATGACCAGTTAACAAGCCGTGGAAACGTTCTATGGGATGCACAGGTTTAACCTGTGAAATATGGACATGAAACCATCAACTGGCCAGGACTCGGCTATTCTGGACCCTTGGACAGCATTTTCTACCAAGGTCCTTCCACCCTCTCAGGACTCTGGGAAATACTGCCTTGCTGGGCCTGGCTCGGCTTGAATCCCATTTAAAAGGATGGGCGTCGTAGCAAGATTCGACACTAGAGGTACCGCTGCCGTTTTCCAGAGTGGCCAGATGCACCAAGGGCATGGGCTTCTCGGGGCCGGGGAAGGCCCTGATATCTGCCACCTCCCTGTTTGGCACGTCAGCCTCACCTCAACATCCCCGCTAAGGGACTGTGACTTGTCACCTTTGTCAACTGCAAGTTGACGCAATGGTTTCCGGCGCTTATAAAACATGACAGTTACAGAAAGCACATTTAGTGTTAGATATGTATGTAGCAAAAGGGGCCTATTAGAGTTGAAACAGAGTGGAAAATACACTGGGGGGTGGAGTCAAACACCCCTGGTTGGAACCCAGTGGCTTTAAGCTGTGATCTCGAGTTAGCCAGAAAATTCCTGAGCCTCAGTTTCCTCTTCCATTGAATGGGGAGAAGCATTCCTCCTGGGGCTGCTTGCAAGACTGACAGTTCACTAGATATAAAAGGGCTTTGTGCCTAATATGGCATTAGCAAGTACGAGCGCTTATTATGATTCCCACATCAGACTGTGCAACATCTAAAAGACATTATCCTGAGGTGCCCGGGTGGCTCAGTCGATTATGCATCCGACTCTTGATTTTGGCTCAGGTCATGATCTCAGGGTCCTGGGATTGAGCTCCACCTTGGGCTCTGCCCTCAGCAGGGAGTTAACTTGAGATTCTCTCTCTCCCTTTTCCCCTCCCCCTCCCCCTGCTCAAGATTCCTTTCTCTCTCTCTCTAAAATGAATAAATACATCTTAAAAAAAAAAAAAAAGACAGACATCCTTTTTTTTTTTTTTGTCCTGAGATTTTATATTCTTTCTGAATATATCTGGAGTATTATCTCATAATTGAAATCAACTTTACTTTTCAAACCCACAGCTGATGAAATGCTTTCGAGTGTCAAGGACTATTCCACATTTGATAACACACTCCGGGTGACAGCAGCAGTATCTTAACAAACACAGGAAAGTTAATACTTACACATGCCATCAGAGCAGGGTTTTAAGCATAAAAAAAAGACTAGAAGAAACAGCGTGGTGCGTTAAATGAAAGGGACAGAGGAGGGAGGGATGGAGGGGATGGCAGCCACATGAAGTCGATCCGTTAGCCACATCATATGGTTTGGACTTAGGCTGCACTGCCTGGCCACTAGCGGACACTCTCCCTCCATAAAAATACAAGACAGCATTATTTTCCAGGCAATAAAAACCTCAGAGATGAATTCTGCCATATGTGGTCACGGCCCCCCTCCCACAGAGCCCTCGTGCCTGGGAAACAGAATTGAACACCACATCTTCAAAGAGAGTTCTCCGTAAATATACTACCGGTTTTACAACCTCTATCTGCAACACAAACCACTGGAGAACACATTTTCTCAGCATCGCCCCATGTTACCGTTCCATGGCCTCGCTTTCTGAAACTGTCTTTGGAAGAGCATAACTAATTTCCATTTGGCCTTCTCAAGGGATAGGGAAAACTGAAGTCCGGGAGAACAGGAGTCAGGGTCCTCCTTACCTTGAGCCGTTCACCTGGTTAGGGTTACATTCCATCTTGATGGTGACCCTGGCTGGGGGTTGAGACAGCCAGTCTTGCTGAGGGACACGTGGGCTCATCTTGGATGTCTGTCCATAGTCGCCGGAGGAGGATGCGGTCATGTCCGTCTTAGCCAGGTGTGGTGTCCCGTAGGCACACTCAAACAAAGACTGGTCCTCGCTCACAACCGATAATGCTTCCTGAATGCCCAAAGAAACACACATTCAGGACACGCTGAAGGACAGTCATGGTTCAAAGAGATGCTGACTTTAGAGTCATTTCTAACCGGGGGCCACAGTTTAGGGAACTTTCATGGTATCCAAGTCTACGTCTGAGAAGAAAAAAAGTAGCTGGCTTTCCTCCCTCCAGACTCTAACTGTTGGAACCGGCCAGCCCAAGAAAACTTTCCTGCGGGTCTCAGAGCATCCCCAGTTTGACTGCAGCAGCGTAGATAATACCCACTTTAATCTCAACTCAAGGAAGTTGAATTTCAAAGGTCTTAGAAGACATCCATTGCATGTGTCATTATTTGACAAATGCAATCTATAATTCAAGCAGACAGGGTACAGAATGGTCATGGAGATTAAAAAAAGAAATGGGATGGGTAACACCTAAGCATCTGGCAAAACTGCCACATGCCCAGGAGATTTTAAAGAAGACGCACTTAGAAAAGAGTAAGGGGACGTGGAGTCCCGGAGGACAAACGTACAAAGATAAGAATTTTTCCACTTCGAAGTTATTAGCTGAAACAGAGTTTCAAGCAGTGCTTCCATGATGGCGAACATCTGGATGGTAAATGAACCAGAAAAAAAAAAAAAAAAGAAAGAAAGAAAAGAAAGCTGTGAATGGTCCAGATGCCTCCAAATACCAGGATGTTTAAAATATCTGGATCCCTGACTAGCTCTTCTTCTCCTTTATTTTCTGTTCATATCTTTGTTCCTTCACATAATGGGGTGAAAAGAAAACAGGGATTCCTCCTTATTGGGTCATGAATTCTTCTGGGGCTTGAAGTCCCACAAGTGACTAGCCCATGGCGACACATACATATTCTATGGCCAAATCAGCAAAGGCAAATCAGATTCGGAAATTTCAGTGACTTGAATGATCCACCAGTGTAGCCAAAGGACTATAAGATGACCCAATTTTGGTCTCTATCATAGGAAAAAAAACAATCCGTGTGAAAGCTCATTTTTATTTTAGCCCTCCAGCATCCTTAGTACAGCTATGAACTGGCAAGAAACAAGAGCTACTCAGGTCATACTTTAAAAAACTAAAATGGAAATTTTGATGCTGGGGGGGACTATGGAGAACTTCATCCCCAAATAAGGAAATGTGAGATCCAGAATGGTCCAGAACTCACCTCGAAGGGAGCTGTGGAATGAGGGACCTGTCGAACTGGTGTTTTATCATCCACCCCTCAGCCTATGAGATGTCCTTCTTATATTTCTTGGTTTGGGGTATCATTACATTAGCACTCCCTCCTTCTTCAAGTTGATATTTTATTTTATTTTTTTAAATTTTATTTTATTTATTTATTTGACAGACAGAGATCACAGCTAGGCAGAGAGGCAGGCAGAGAGAGAGGAGGAAGCAGGCTCTCTGCTGAGCAGAGAGCCTGATTTGGGGCCTGATCCCAGGACCCTGGGATCATGACCTGAGCCGAAGGCAGAGGATTAACCCACCAAGCCACCCAGGTGCCCCAAGTTGATATTTTAATAAATAAGGAGGCTCCCCATTAGTCACAGAGCCTTACAAAGCAGCCTTTCTAAGATACAGACCTCCCTCCTTACCCAGAAGTAGCAGGATCCTTAGGAAACACATGCCACTTCACAGACCACCTGTCCGAACCCAGTGTGTCCTCTGCTACTCAGTCCCCCACCCAGCCAGGACTAACTTCACAAGTGCGTGAACTTCATTGCCAGATACACGGCTCTAGGAATCCGCGAGTAGGAAGAACCACAAGGCACAAACCCAGCTCTGGCCCCCAGAGTGGGGGCCAGGTGCCTGTGGGTACGTAACACCCCACCACCCCCAACTTCTTAAAAATCCCTCGAATCACAGTGTGGAACACTTGGGACGCTGGCTGTTGAAAGAGCAACACAAAACATGAGGAAGGACAGGTTGTGCCAGCCAGCCAGCCAGAACCAGACACGAGGAACGAAAAAAAAAATTAAAAAAAAAAAAGGTAACTTTGAATACAGGGCAAAACCAAACACAGCAACCACAGACAACAGCCATACGAGGCAGCAGCCCAAGGCTCAGTGTGTAGCAATGGGCACGGGAGGCGTCAGGGCGACGGGAAAACGTGGCTCTCCCCCTGTTCACAAGGGGAGGGAAGGAATCTGAGGCATCTCAACTTCCAGACATGGGTGTAGAAGGGAAATCAGTATCACTGCAGGGACTTACTGTAGGTGAGTGTCTTTAATAAAGACATAAACCAAAGCTTCTTACAGAATGCTTGCAGAAAGCAGTCTCCCTTCCCATAGCGGCGAGGCACAGAAAGGTTTCGCACGCTCAGAACGGCAGACAAGCCTGACAGCCACCCCCCCGCCCCCCAACGCACGCTCCTGCCTGGTCCCGCAGACTCCCAGCCCGGCTCCAAGGGGAATAACACACTATGTCATGTTAGCATTGGCTCGCCCGTGAAGAGAAACATGAATAAATGTGCGATTTATCTCAGAACTTGGCAGAAACAGGTGAGGTGTAAGGGATAGCCTCAGTTTTAAATTACAAGTGAAAAAGAAAAAGATTTTCGCAACAGGAAGAGTCACAACGTCAGAGTATTAGCAGACTTCCTAGGTAAAGCAGGGTCCCCTTGCAAACCTTTCCAATGTCCAGATTAATGGAGCATGAGGCTGAAAAGGTGGACCGAAGTCATAGAACTCAGACAAGGCTCCAGTGTGAGTTTGGACGGGGGGAGGAACCCATTCTCACATCTGGCAAAACATTATTTCAGCACATGGTTTTCTAAAGAAAGAAATCAAAGTTAATTGAGATCGATTTGGGGGTGGGGAATGTGCAAAGCTAAAGATAAGGGAGATACACATCTTTTCTTCACAGCTTAAAATTCTCCTCAAAGTTCACATTGCATAAAAAAATGAGAAAGTTGATGTGATCCAGAATGTCCACAGTTGCTTTTGTTCACTAGAGGAGAAAGAGATCACAAAGTGAGGGATTTTCAGGATAAACATCTCAAGAAGAGTGAAATAAAACCCACATTCTGGAAAGATGAAGCAATTGGAAAAAAAAAAAAAAAAAAAAGCATGTTCCAGAGTGATTATAACCAATCAAGAATGCTGAACACCTAGAATTAAGGTACAGGTCAGGAAAGGGGAACATTCAAAATCAGTCTCTCTCTCTCTCTCTCTCTCACACACACACACTCACACACGCCCATGTGGCACATTTTAACAATTCGGGGAGTAAAAAGAGGCCCGAGGGTCATTTTCCGAGACCTGCTTCAACAGGATAATCACTAGAATTAACTGCTGCTCGTCAGAAGGACACAAGGAGCAGACGCCATAGACCGGCAGAATCTGTTTTTTCATCCGTTAGACTCAGTCACATTATGAGGCACAGGCTTCATCATCCCTTTGGTTCGATATGAATGACAAAGGCTATTATTGCATAGGATTCTCCCGCCTCGGCAGCTCTGGGACTTCAAAGAGGGAGAGGATCTCGCCCAGTAGGATTAAAACCAGAACGGAGCTCTGAACACAGGCTGGTAACCAGGAACACATGAATCCCTCAACTCCAGCTCGGCAAGGGGACCTCTGGCCTTGGCGGAAACTGTCCCTGCTTCCCTGCCTGCCGCCTGGCTTCCCTCCTAGTCCGTGGCCACCTCACCTACCTACACGCCTACCTGCCAAGGTGTCAGCAGATGCCTTAGTTAACATGTATAGGTTATGCTCTCAGAACCTTTGGCCAGGTGCAGGACTGGGGAGCTGGCTTTGGATGCTTTATAGCAAAGAACTCAAAAAAAAAAAAAAGTCAAAATCTGGCAGAAACGTGGCATCATAATTTAATATGCTTGCCTCTATGTTACTATAAAAAGATCTGAACTTTAGATTGGTGTGTGCTAGTGTGTGTGTGTGTGGGGGGGGTGTTTTCTCTGTAGCTCCTGGAAAGTTGGGATAGTCTGA